ATGAGACCTAGAGCTTTCCATTTCATGAAAGCATGGATCTGACATTGTTTCATCTTGAAGGATCTGTTGCCCAGGTGTCCCCAGGAAGGAAGGACTCAGCCCGAGGGATGCCCAGAGGCGGTTTCACCTGCAGGGGCTGCTCAGCGGCTGAGGTTTGCAAATAGGTCAGAAATGAAAGGTTCCTCTCCCCCCAGGTCCAATTCTCCTTGGTTGTGGAATGGAAAAGCTGGACCCTGTTAGAGTTCAGAAGGGTAGGCCGTGACTCCCCGGAGGGTCCTCCCATCCACCCTCGCATCTGCAGTCTGAGGCTCTCCTCACCCTAAGCCTTACAGTTTGGGCGGCATCTGAGAATGGGAGTTGCAGGCTGAGTTTCCACCAGAGCTCTGTCACACAGGTTACCAAGGAGCCATTGTACAGAGGAAACTGCCTTCAGTGTCCCCAAAGACCAATTTCCTCCAGGCCAGCATGTATGGAGAACCCTCTACCAGGTCCCAGCTGCCTCTCGGAGATGGCAGCGAGGAGGGATGGATGCAGACACAGCACCTCTGGGCACCCAGGGAAGAAGGTGCCTGAAGTGTCTGGCTCCTCATAGAGAGATGGCGTAGCTGGGCATGGCTGCTTGGCCACCTCTTCCTGTCCCTGCTGGATGGAGAGAGAAGGGGGATGGGCTGTATGCAGCTCTCCCCTGTTTACTTAGCCTGAAGCCATAGCACCCAGACTGGGTCCCAGCTATATTGGGCAGGTTCTGTGGGACCAGTAAAGGCACACAGTTAATGTCGTCGTTACAGGGACCTTGCCACCGTTGTCTTGACCTGACATTCCCTGTTCTTTTCCATCCCTCTCTTCCTCTTTCTCTCTCTCTCCCTCCCTCCCTCTTCTCCTCCCCCTCCTCTTTTTTCTCACTCAGCCTCTCTGCTGAATTCTGCATTGACATCAGCACTTCCAAAAGCAACAACAGAGGAAAGTAGGTCACTGGCAGTGCCAGATCAGAGCTGGCCCTGGGTGGGGGCTGAGTCTGGGGTACAGCCCAGCTCATGGGGAGTGGAGGGGCAGCCCCCAAACTCTAAGCCTGCTGTCTTGCGGGGCACTTGGTCCCTCCTCCCCATACCCTTAGGGGAGGTGGTGGCATGTGTGTGCAACCTGTTTGTGGACACGTAGGTTCCCGGATGGACCAGGTTGGGGTTTCTGCATTGTGAGCAGCACCCCCTCCCCCACTGTCCCTCTGGTCCTAATAAAGCATCGAGAATCAAGAGACTTGGGGTGCACACACCTCGTCTTGAGAGTGGGAAGCCAGCCTCCAGAGACCACATGCTCATTGACACACATGTGTGCACAGGCCCATGACGCCTGTTCCCCTCTTTCTCTAGGGCTTTCTCTAGAATATTGCCTCTGCTCTCTATGGCCATGGAACTCCCGCTCTACTTGAAAGATTACCCAACACGCTAATTGGGACTCCTGCTATGATTAAAAAGAAATTTCCGATTAGAGCCACCATGCCGTAGAGCTTGGGAAGAAAACAGCTCTTTAGAAACGCAGCGGGGGCAGACTTCGAGGTTGTGTTGTGGTTTGGGTTTTTTTTTTCCCCCTAACTTGGAAAGAACCTGCATCTCCCTGACATTTTCGCCTGGGCCAAGTCCAGGGCAAAGACAGTGGCCAGGTAAGGCCCAAAGCATCAAACCAGGGCCCATCTGGCAAGAGAAAAAAAAATGGTAGCCTTACCCCCTACTTTTTCTTGGGAGGGCTGTGGAGGAGCTGTTTCTGCTAGATCCCGCCCTGCCTGCACCTTTGGCCCCCTGATTGACAGATGTCACGGTCGGTCTTGGTCAGCCCTTGCCTGGGATAAAGGTTTTCTGAGCAGCTAGGCTGAGCAACACATTTCAATCTAGCGCCCTGAAGCGATTAGCTCCTAGCGCTGGCAGGTCCCCAGAGAGGCTGGGGGAGGGGAGGGCGGGAGCTGTGGTCAGTCAAAGGCAGACACTTCTGAATGGTTCCACGGCTAAAGCCTAGCTCATCCCTGCTTCCAGATTTCATTAGCTTGAGGAGGGAGGCCCCACGGCATCCTTTCGCCTCTCCTGGGCATCCTACCCTATAAGGTAGCATCAGAGTGAGTCCCTCCATCTCTTTGCCACCCCAGCCAAAAGCCCTCTACACCCAACCTCTAGTTAAGATTTTAAAACTTTGACATTGAACCCACACCCTTCTAAAAGAGAGCCATTTGACTTTATGTAAATAAAGCATCTCCTTAATATCGGCTTCATTAAAAGACCCAAGAAAAGAGCATCGGCGTTTGCTGGTGGAATAGTATAATTGTCTTCAAGGGTAATTGGCTAGTTATTGAGGATAATTGTCTGCAGATGATGGGGAGACAGGTAAAAGGGGGGAAGGAGTCCAGGTGTAAGGGCTGGCTCCAGCAAGCAGCCCTTGCTTTGAATGGGAAAGGCGAGAACTGCACAGCCAAACCCCCCAATACCACCATTCACTGAGCGTGGGGACCCCACAAAAGTAAAATTCCAGCTGGGCGGCAATGGCGCACGCTTTTAATCTCAGCACTTGGGAGGCAGAGGCAGGCGGATCTCTGTGAGTTCGAGGCCAGCCTGCTCTACACGGAGAAACCCTGTCTCAAAAAAACCAAAACCAAACAAACAAACAAAAAAGAGTAAAATTCCAGAAATAATTTGGAGGGGCACCACACACACACACACACACACACACACACACACACACACACACCTCCAACTAGAGAACTCGATTCGCAGCCACCGATGTACCAGTGCCATTAGTTCAGAAGAGAAATTCTTTTAGAACATCACTCTTCCCCCAACCACATATAAAGATGCACTTTTGGAATAAAGGATTATCTTTAGATTGAATAAATCTGGCTTAATGAAAAGCCCACTGCATTAGTGTTTCATTGCAAATCAGCAGAAACCATAATCACAGGCTCCCCTTGTCTTCAGACAAGCGAGCGTTTGGAAAACACTGGCTGGAGCTTTGACTCCCCAGTTGCATGGCTGGCATGGTTGGGAAGCAGAGGGCCTGGGCTGGGATTCCACAGTTGCCTTCCAGTTATCTTTTAATCCTCCTCCTCCTTAGTTTCCATTGTGTGAGGGGGAAGGGAAGAAGACAGATCTGAATCAAACTGGACCCGAGAGTAAAGATACTCACCTGTATTCCTAGCGCGAGGGAGGCTGGGGCAGTCAGAGCTGAGTTTAGTTTATATGTATTTGTGTGTGTGTGTGTGTGTGTGTGTGTGTGTGTGTGTGTGTGTGTGTGTGTGCGCACCCCAGAGCATGTGTGGAGGTCAAAGAACAGCCCTCAGGAATTGTCTTCTCCGTCCACTATGTGGATACTCAAATCAAACTTGCATTGTTGGGCTTGGTAGCAAGTGTCTTTGCCCAGGGAACTCTCTCCGAACCCACGGCCCAGCATTTCACAGGGGTGCTGACCATCCAAATTTGTGTTCTTTCGCTTACATGACAAGCACTTGGCCAACTAAGTCATTTCTCTAGCCCCACCCTAATTCTCTTTGGTGCTGAGTTTTTAGTCTCCCTCAGTCCTAGGGGTCAAAACTAGAGCAAGGCACAGGCCTGACAAACCCTCCGCCAAACCTCTCCCTCCTCTTCCTCCCCCTCCCTTCCTCTCCCCTCCTCTTTCTCCCCACTCTCTTTCTCTCCATTCCTCTTTCTCCCCCCTCCCTTCCTTCATTCCTTCGTTCCTCCTTCCTTTCCTTTGTTTTTGAGACAGGTCCTTACTATGCATCCCAGGCTAACCTTGAACTTGTAATGAAGCCCAGGCTGGCTTTGAACTCACAGCTGTCCTCTTACTCCCGCCTCCCAAGCCCTGAGATCTTAGACCTATGCTACCACACCTGGCTGATTTCTCAAGTGAACAAAAACAATGAGAAGAAAACAAAAATTCCTAGAACAGTCATGGGTTCATAAACGCTCTGAAAAGAGACTCAAAATGGATCACGAAAAAACACTTGAAGCACAAAGAGTTGATGAAAGAAAGAGACAGACAGAGGGAAAGGCTCAGTAGGTAGAAGTCATTCATGCTTAACAACCTGAGTTCAATTCCCGACCCCCACGGTGGAAGGAGAAAACCAATTCCCGAACATTCTCCTCTGACCTCCATACATGTGCTGTGGCATGTTCATGCTTATACACACACCAACAAACAAACTGGACTCTTGGAGAGGAAAGCGCTAGAAATGGACCTGATTGTAGTGGTCCCTGCAGGCCCTGTGGCCAGCCATTTCCTCTTCCTTTTGTGGTTTGGGGATAGACCCAGGCCTGACACATCCAGATCTCACCATCAACTCGGAGTCGGCCTTTGCCCCTACTTAATTTTACATGGTGGCCGCCTCGTGGTGTCCTGGAGGAAGAAGAATGTGCCCAGGTCTTCTCTTTCTTCCCTACTCTTGATATCTATTGAAAATTAATCCAAGGTCTCATAGAAATAATGATCTAGCCTCGGCTACCCAGAGATGAGAGAAACCTTGGCCTGTTGGGGATTTCCTGTCACTTTTAGTGGGAAAGAGGGGAGAATTCTTGCCAGCTCTTTCTGTCACCTGAGTTGGAGGTCCTGGTGATGTGTTTGGGGGAGTTTGAGGGTCAGAGCAGCAAAGAAAATGTGTAGGGAAATTGAGACCTGGGACCTTGGGGCTGTTGCCAAGACATCTAACACTTTTTCAGTTCCCAAAGCTGTGAGTATGAGAAGCGCTGGGTTCCCCAATGTATGCCTGCCGGTCTTACCCTGGGTCACATAGATGGGCAGGTAGTGGTAGTCTGGGTGTGGAAAACTGTCCACTTGGGGAAGGAGAGGAACGTGGGTCTGAGTAACCAGTAGACCTAATTCTTTATATCTGCAAGTGGGGGGCACAATCAAATCTTCCCACTGGGGTGGGGGTCCTGTTATCAGGTTGTATCTACAAGGTGGAGGGTCTTTCAAATCGGGACACACTATCCGACTCCAAGTTGCTTCTCATTTTTCCTTGCCAGTGGCCTCTTGGAGAGGAAATGGCTGAAGAAGCGGAGCTGCAGGAAGACAAGGCCATGGCCTGGCTGCAGGCTGTCTCCGAGTCTGAAGAGGGTCAGCAACTCTGAGAAATGAAGCTATTCCTGAGTGAGAAGGCCAAAGAAGGAATAAGGCAGAGGGAGAGCCCCTGAGGAGACTGAGGCCAGAGTGAGGACCCTGTGTGAAGCTGGAGGGGAGGAAGATGATCAGAGGAATTCAGTAAGACTCGCCCTCCACATCCACTACACATGAGACAGGGGGATGTCACCTGTCCGGCAGAGTGGAGAGACCCTCACCTGTAGTGTAGTGTAGAGGGGACAGAGAAGGCCGGCACCCGGACAAGGTTGGGGTTGACGGGCAGCTCCTAGGGTGGGCTCTCACAGCTGCTGTACCCCAGAAGTATACAGCTAGGCGGACTGCACAGCAGCTTCCAGAATTCCCAGGTTCCACTCTGTCCCTGCTCTGTGCAGGTAAGACCCACTTGGGGTGGATTTCAACCCCCCACCCCCCCCACCCCCGCCTCGATCTGGTCACAGTCAGCCAGAGTGGGGGTGGGGCCGATCTTGTAAAAGAGGCTGGTGAGGACATCTGAAAGTCTGTACCCTCCACTAGCAAAGTGCCAGACGCTCGGTGACACTTTAAATGTCTCAGATAAAACAGTGAGAGACTCTCCTGGTGGCAAGCAGGACGAGAGGTCAGGGACCTCAGTGCCTCTGAGGCTCAGACACCAGGATAAAGAATAAAAACATCTCAGAGACCCCTGTGACCCCCTCGTGCGGGGGGAGAATGTCAATGTGGCCCAGCTGGCCGCTGGAGCACAAAATCTCAAGGCCTGTACAGGGTAGGAGCCTTCCACTGCTGGGACATCAGATAAAACCCTCAGGCCCTGGATTAGGGATACGCCTTGGCTCAGGCCTCAGCCCTGATCTGTCACCTCATTACACACACACACACACACACACACACACACACACACACACACACACCCTTTGAAGATAGTCACCAGCCTGTGAGGAAGTGAGACAAAGCCTCCATTTTTACTCATCCCAAGTGATACCTCTGTGACCGATCCCTGTGTCCCTCTCCTGTTGACTACCCTTACAATCCAATAAAAGGGAACTCAGCTTTCTACCAGCTTCCTCCTCGCTGGTAGAAATGTACCCCGAGTGTGGGGGCCTGCCTTGCTCACCCAGACACCCAATGGCCTGGCTGGGGCTTTGCACATCATCGGGGCTCAGAGCTGTTGGTTGCAGGAATGCCCCACACTTGGCTGCATGAGGTCCAATGACAGGACGTTATGCCGGTGCGTGCATGCCTGCGTGCGTGCGTGCGTGCGTGCGTGTGCGTGTGTGTGTGTGTGTGTGTGTGTGTATGTGAAGTGAGCAGAGGGTCTGTATGTGCATGCGCGCGCGCGTGTGTGTGTGTGTGTGTGTGTGTGTGTGTGTGTGTGTGTGCGCGTGCACAGGTGTGCATGTGCAAAATGCCTCTCTTTGGAGCTCTCCTGTCCATCTGCCTCTTACTGGCCACACAACTGCCCCATGGAGCTGTGCTTTCTCTTTCCAAGTGCCAATGTGTGGGTATGTCCTTCATCCGGTGCCCTTCCTTTGCTAGCCCTCTGTCCCTGAGAACATCTTCTGTGTCCTTGGGTTGACAGAGACATCATTGTCTTGTCCATGACTGCTCCCCAGAATGGCGGCAGGAGGATGTGACAGAGGCATCGGGACACAACATCTCCATGTTTAGGTCTTGGGCACTGCCATTGTCGCTTCCTTCCCCCCAGCAGCTCTCCCAGGAAATGGTACTTACAGAGATTGAAGAGTTTAATACATGTCTCACTGCCTCTCTTTTCGCAGGCCCCCCAGAGGGAGCAGCAGAAACCAAGGCTGGCAGGGGCTCTAAGCTGCCTGGGCAAAGGAGCAGGGGGTGGCATCGAGCCTTAGCCAATTTGGAAAGCACCGTGACCCAAGCACATTCTGCAGCAGTAATGTCAAATTCTGCCGTTCAGGCATGCCATTGATGTGCACACTGCCACACAGAAACCAGTGACACAAAGGCACAGCCTTCTCCACCCTCCTGGTGCTTAGAAACTAACGGCTCTAATGAGAAATGAGAGCTGAAAGGAGCCGGATGGGAGGCGGGCCACAGCGGTGCAGGCTGGCGCTGAGTGTTGGAGGAGGCTGACCCAGTTCTTGTAGAGGTAAGGGGCCCACTGAAATGTCACTTAAATTAGCTACCACTCCCAACACTAGATCTCCTTTGTCCCCAAACCTCATTGCATGAAATGGGAGCCCTGTCAGTGAGCCCCACAGTTACATTCTGGTTTCTTCTTCTCTGGGGCAGCCTCAGGCCCTGCACCCACTGGACTTTGAGAACCATAAACCAACCACCCTGGTTCCAGAAACCCTCTTGAAAGAGGTGAGGACAAGGAGGTAGAGGGGAGAGAGGAGGGAGAGAGGGAAGGAAGGAAGGAAGGGAAGGAGAGAGAGAGAGAGAGAGCACGCATTCACCATGAAGAGCCCTCTTTTCTGGCTTTTTGACTGCACTGTGAGTTATTGAGCCAACAATAGATGTTTATGTATTTTTTTTAGAGCTCGTATTTATTAACAGCCTGTAAGGGGGGAGGCTGGGAGATTTATATGGGAAGTGCAGTGAGTTAAAAGGGACAATTAGAGGAGCAGAAGGAGACACAGAGCACAGAATTGTAAAGGATATTTTAACACCCATCAAAGGTTCTCGAGGTATTTTCCAAGTAGGCGGAGGGAAAAGAAAATTGGCCCATTAGAAACTGATAGTCGGGGATCGGTGACATGGATGGAGTAATGAGTGGCTGATGGCTTGAACTCCTGCAAAGGGAAGGTGAAGAAAGGAAGGAGACAGAGCAGGAGTTGATCAGCTGGAGTACGGTCAGGAGGCCCAGGGGTGTAAGGACCCAGTAAAATGTGCACTTGCCTTTCCTTGATCAAAGAATGTACATCCAGCTAGGTGTGGTGGCAAAGGGCTGATATCCCAGTACTCAGGAAGCTGAGGCAGGAGGATCACCATGAGTGTAAGCCCAGCCTGGGCTGCATAGTAACACCTTGTTTCAAAATCACAACAGAAAATAGAAGGGGGGGGCGACGGGGGAGGTAGAGAAGGAAAAGAAAAGGGAATACAGAGAAGCTGTATGTGGCAGTACAGACCTGTCATCCTAGCACTCAGGGGCTAAGGTAGGAGAATTATGAGTTCAAGGTCAACCTGGGCTACATGGCGAGACCCTGTCTCAAAAACATAAATAAATGAATAAGCCAAAACATAGCCAGGCACAATGGTGTACACTCATAGTCCCAGCACTTGGGAGGTAGAGGCAGGAGGACCAGGAATTTAAGGCCAGTCTGGGCTACATAAGAATCTATTCCCATCCCCATCCCCCACACACAGAGAGAGAGAGAGAGAGAGAGAGAGAGAGAGAGAGAGAGAGAGAGAGAGAGAGAGAAACACAAAGAAAGGGCCTTCAGCTGTTGAACACCACGCTTGCTAACGTGATGACCGGATCCCTGGAACACGAAGAAGAAGGAAACTCCAGAAAGTTGTTCTATGACCTCCACACGCATGCTGCAGCATGTGCCCGCTCCAACCTTGTGCACAGACATACCCACATCAGAAAAAGAAGAAAAAGAGGTTTTTTTCAAGAAAAGAAAGGCTGGCTTCTTCCACATCAGCATAGAAGAGAAACTAAGCCCCTATTAGCCAGGTCCTTCCCAGTCCAGCGAGGTCTGACTGACGCAGTCGGGCCTAACCCAATGGACTCAGTGTCTAGCACTCATCTCTTGAGTCTATTCTGATCCACAGAGAAGCCTTCCTGGCTCCCCTACCTCCTCAAACCTGCTCCCAAGCTTCTGGGCCCCGCTGCCTGTGGGAGTACCAGGTGATTTGCTAGGTGAAAGGCAACACACGTCACGTGGAGTTCTTGGTACTCTGGTAATGCACATGCCTAGCAGGAGGGGTGGGGCTCAGAAGAGGGAATCCTGGGATTGCCTGTGGCTCCCTGCAGCTGTGGTGTCTGGCCAGCTGAGGGAGGAGCCATGCCATGAGGGCGGGAAAGCCTGGAGCACTGACTGTGGATGCTAAACGGTATGGGAGACACTCTGAGCTTGGAAGCAGCAGGTGTCTGGGAATGGGACTGTGGCCCAGGCAGATTTCCAGTGAGCACTCCAGTTTGCTGGCACAGGGAAGGATCTGGCTGAGCACAAGAGGCAAGTGGTGATGATGAAACCCACAGTTGAGGAACAGTGGTAAGGGTGCCATGGGAGCCCGTGTGCTTACGATGAGGCTGGGGAGTGAAGAAGAGCTCGGGCAGGGGAGCCACACATTCCCTCTGCTTCCGAGCAGAGTCAGAGGCCCAGAGGGGGACTCCCTGGGCCCTCCTCTTGCTTAAATAGTCTCCCAGCACCCCAGCAGACAGCATTCCATCCTTAGCTCATAGCTGTTTGTAGAGAACTCAAAAGTTGAGCTACTGTGGGCCTCCAGCCCGCAGCCTGGCAGTCTCCCACCTTCTTCTCTGGGTAACTCTCTTTCTTCAGAGACTGGTACATCATCATCTCCTCCTGGACCACCTCTCTGACTCTCCTACCCCAGCTGAGCCTCTTGTTTTGGAAGACTATGCTAACACAGGTTCCAGTTCTGTAGAGGTCGAGAATGCTCGGGAATGTTAGCGCCTCTCAGCGCCTCAGAGATCCTATCTTGTCACTTTGCTGTCCCCAAAGTAGAGACAATGGCTGGTCCATGTGTGTGTTGAATGAATAATGAAGAACCATCCAAGCCCTTGGGTCATGGAAGAAGCTTGTCTGAGGGTACCAGGGACCACCCCATGTCCCCTCATGGCTGACTCTGTCCTCTGTCGCTGTAGAATAGAAGGCTGCCGGGGAGGAGGTGAGATAAAGGAAAGAGATGATCTCTCCTGGGGACAGAAGTCTGTTGCTAGAGTGCGTGCCTAGTCTGCACGAGGGTCTGAGTTTGAACCCCAGCACCATATAAGGCAGGCGTGGAGGTACAAGCTTGTATTCCCAGCACTCAGGAGGTACAATCAGGAGGATCAGAAGTTCAAAGTCATTCCCAGCTCCACAGCTAGCTTGAGACCAGCCTGGGCTACAAGAGACCCTGTCTAAAACAAACAACACCACCAACAAAACAGAAGAAGGCCATCTGGCAATAATAGTATTAAGTAAAGTAAATCCATCTTTAAAAAAAAATATATTTTCTTTCATTTGTATTTTTACATTTTATAGAAGCCTATAAAATCATGTATGTGTGTATGTGTGTATGCATGCATGTATTTTGTATGATATGAAAGTAGGGGGCTAGAGAGATGGGTGGCCCAGCAGTTAAGAGCACTGACTGCTCTTCCAGAGGACCCGGGTTCAATTCCCAGCACCTACATGGCAGTTCACAACTGTCTGTAACTCCAAGATCTAACCCCCTCACACAGACATACATGCAGGCAAAACACCAGTGCACATAAAGTAAAAATAAAATAAAATTTTTAGAAAAAGAAAGTACAAGTAAAATTGTCTAAGGAGACAAAGGGGACCAATGAGAGACAGGAGAGGCAAGAAATGGGCATGCATGTGTGTATGTGTGCGTGTGTGTGCATGCGTGTGCGTGTGCATGTGTGTTAGGAATATGCTTAACACACAAAATACACTGCACAAAAGCTTTGGGGTACGGGGATGTCAGGAACATGTTCATGTGTACATGTGTGTGGGTGCAATGTATATGCTGTCCATGTGTATGTAGGCCAGAGGTTTCTTCCTCAATCCCTCTCTGCCTAGTTTTCTTTTAATATTATTCTTATCACCATTAGCGTGTTATGCACTGTGTAAGTGTGGGTGTGCTATGGCACTCAGAGGTCAGAGGAGGTCTTTGTAGATTCGGTACTCTCCAACCACTTTTACGTGGATTCTGTGGACGGAACTCAGGTCAAGTTCGCACAGCCAGTGTCTTGTCCGCTGAGCCATCTTGCCAGCCCTCCATCTTAGTTTTTGAGAGAGGGTCTCTCACTGAAGCTGGAACTTGAGAGTTTCCTGGATGGTAAGTCTTAAGGATCACCCTGTCCCTGCATCCCGTCCCCAGTGTCGGGGTTACAGGAGTCCCCTGTGCTGAGCTTTCTTACAGGAATGCTGCAGACTGGGTCCTCAAGCCTGCACAGCCATCGCCTTACCAACTGACCTATCACCTTAGGCCACCAGAACACTCTTCGAAAAAGTCCGTCAGGCCAAGCGTGGGTACTTTGGGAGATAGAGGCAGGAGGATCAGGAGTCCAAGGGCAGCCTTGGCTACATAGTGAGTTCAAGGACTTGTCTCAAAAAAAAAAAAAAAAAAGGCAGAGGAACTAGTCTGTTCCTTATTAGGGACAGGAGGGGGTGACTGAAACCTTTAAGGGAGCAGGACTCCACAGCACCCTGCCCTGAATGGGGGACGTGGCTGGGCTTGCTGAAGAGAGTCATTTAGAGTCAACTGGTTCTGATTTTGGAACAATGGTGTCGTTCTAACTGTGCAGCACACGAGCTGCTGAGTGACCACTGATGTCATCAGCAACAGCCTTCATTCCTTCTACCTCCTGGGGGAGAGAGCTACTAAAAATACACCCAGTGTCCGGGGCCCCACTGCCCAGCCTGGAAGGCCTCGGCCACGGGGATTATGCTGGCACACGTCGGCAGAGCCTTTAGGAGACATAACCGTTCTTCCGGCTGACAATCGCTTCTACCATATAGGACTTGCTAAGTCTTTTTTTAAAAATTTAATAAAGTGCTCAGACTTTTGATTTTCCCACTGAGGGCCTTGCTGCCTGGGGTTGAAAATGAAATCAACAACATAACAACTTGCTTGAATTTTAAGGGACATGGGCATCGGCCTGGGTAAGAGCAGGCCAATCATCAGGCTCGGTGGCTGGGTGGTTAAGTGTTCGTTTTGTAGCATGAGGCCCCCTTCCATGAATGCACTGAATCTTGGACTAAAAACAGCCCTCTGCTCTCCATCTGTGATGCCAGAGTGGCAGACATAGCTTCCAGGTCCTTGCCCTCTGCTCTCCTGGTCAATTCCTAGACGTGTGGGAAATGCTTGAGGCTCAAGCACTGGCTCTTGCCTTTCCGCTGATGCCCAGAATCAGCCACTGTGGCTCTTTGGAAGCTTGGAAGAATCCAGGACCCTTCTGCAGGGGAAAGACATAGAAACAGTACTGAGCTGGGCAACCAGCATGTGGAAAGTGAATTGTGTTCTATGCTGGTGAGGGAAGAGCTCTATGTGTGTGTGTGTGTGTGTGTGTGTGTGTGTGTGTGTGTGTGTGTGTGTGTGTGTGTGAGAGAGAGAGAGAGAGAGAGAGAGAGAGAG